CCTCAGATCGAGCAAGGCATTAAGAGATTGTCCACCCTGCTTTTGGCAAGTGCCGCATAATCATTATGTTTCCCTATTTTGTGGTACTATTTATTCCTTTTACTGGTCTTTTTTTTTTCATCCACCACTTAGTCAGTGATTTTTCCTTTTCCTTACCTGAAGCTGCTACATCCTGTCTATTACTTCTTTAAGTCACATGTGCTTCCCCCCACCCACTATGTCCCCTGAAACTTTGTGATCTTCTGTACAAATCTTCCCATCCCCCTTCTCTGATTTACCATTTCTGAACATTATTTTAGATCATCTGTTCCCATTCAGCATGAAATGGGTTCTGCTGGCAGAAAGACACAGCAGCTTTACTGAATGTGCTCAGGTTGCCTGAGATTGCTTGATAACAAAGCAATTGCCAATTTCTGATAGGTAATGCTTTCAGATGTTAAGCCTGGGACAGCCATGGGGCAGAAAATTCCTTCCTAAAGGCACAATCCCTTCTATTTATCACCAGCCAGAAACACCCTCTTTCTGAGGTACCGATGAACCTCGTTTGTTTTTACCACAATATCAGCGCAATTTGGTGCTGTATTCCTTACACATTATAAAAAAAGTTTTTAAAATTACTTAATTTATTTGTTTTCATTTAGAAGATAAAAATTCGGCACCATGCACAGAAAAATCCTTTATGTTATAGAGTTACAACCAGGAAAAGACAATAAAGTACATCTCATTATATTCAGTGTTTATTTTTATATTGAAAGCTATTGTTGTTTCTTCCTGATATTTTTGCTGGCAATAACAAGGTATAAGTGTTTCATTATGCACATTATATAGTTCTAGCACCGTGTTTCAAAATGAAAATTACCTGTATAAAAGAGACTTTCAGTCAGTCTATATAGGCAGCTGGAAAGTGGTTTGAATGCATGCAGCTAATGGTCACAGCAATTTGCATGGGAGCAGGTTTAATGTAAGTCTAGGCACTGTTTACTTTAGTTATGCTTTCATAAATGTTGGACAAGAGGAATGAAAAAATACTACAGTAAATAGCGAATAAAATCAAAAGCTAAAAGCTTAAGGCATGGATTTTTGGAATTCTAGTCAGTTATCTCACAAACTTGTGTTTTAATGAGATGTGACATTTTAATTCCCTTTAGAAACAAAAAACCCCACCCTAAGCTGGTCTTTTTTGAGTCTTCAAGTAATAACAATTATTGGTAATAAGTTAATATTTATATTGAAATCAATGGGAGGAAAGCGTGAGAAGAAATATTAAGACTGTAGACAAATAAATGTCTTGTATAATTATTTTAGTTTTGGAATCTTGCATTGCAATAAGCAGGTTAAGCTTTTCAATGCTAAAAGCTAATACAACCTCCATCATAAAACTTCCTTCATCTGAAGTCAACAGACGATGAAATTTACTCTCCCTGTTTAGCGAGGAGGAGAGGAAGCCACTTGCTATAAAATGAACGTAAAAAGAACTTTTTTCTTTTTACTCATAAAGTGTAGGTCTTGCACAGGCAGTTGAGAAGATGCAGAATATAATAGTCCTCCTGTATTTAATTGTTTCTGTATGCCCTGGAATCTAAAGAGAATTTAGGATGTGTTTGGCAGTAGCTTTCCCTCTATAATCAGGTTGCTATGGTAAACCTATTATTCTAGACGAAGAAAGAGTATGTTTAGTAAAGTGCTGGTCCCTTTTCAGTATAATGTCAGCCTCAAATTACTTTTGAATGATTGAATTTGTACGGTAAGTATTTTACCACAATAACTAAGAGAAGAAGGTCACAGAATAAGGTGTGGCTTCTGTTATTTCCGTACCAGATACATCTGACAAAGTAGTACTATGGCTGAAGCAAGCTTACCCTGCAAATATCTTATCCTGGTTTTCCCAGGGAAGCAGCCTGAAATTTATTGTTACAGAATGCTGTTAATTTTTGTGTTTATTATATGGTGATAAACTGAACCTTTGAAGCTTACATTTGCAACATCCTAGGTACTTAGCTGTTCAGAAGCATAAGGACTTTAATTCTCTGTTAAATTATCTCCACAAAGCGAGCCCACATTACGTAGCCTAATCAAAATCTCAGTACTTTCGGAGGTAAAATATGCTTTTTAAGGCACTACAAAGTTACAATTATTTAGTGCCACCACTAAATTCACTTCCCATGTTCCTGGAGCTGATTTTGTCACTTTAGTAAAAGAACTAATGAACTAATAATTTGAGTATCAATTTCAGCAGCAGTGTACTAAAATACCATAAGTGTAGCTTTGAATATTTAAAAGTAAAGAAATGGCTCATTGAAATCCTTTTCCGGAACACTTACTCACTGAGGTTTCTGTCCGTTTTCAAGACACTTTACTTCTGTTGATGTCCTCATGTTGATGTCAGATGATCTAAATCATACCCTGAGCTTAGGTGGGACCCAGCCAAAATAAAATTCAAGGCAAAATATTAACAAGGAATTTGGGCTTTTTGAATATATGTGTTGGTGTTTTATTCATTAGCTAAGACGAGAACATTGATAAAGTAGGGCCTAAATCCCCTTTGTGCTTGGTTTTGAGAAGACAACCTGAACTTTTATCTCCTACATGACCAAAATGTGCCCTATCTGCCTAGGGATGGGATATTCCTCAGGTTTTTTTTTGGTTTGTTTTTTTTTCTTTTTCTAGTGAAACTGCTGTACATTAACTAAAATTAATAAATATTAATTAGAGCAGGGACTGAGAGGAACCTGTTCCCATTCCAGTGCAAGTGGCTAGCCACTGGGCTCTCAGGTCATTCTGACTTATTAAATTAAGCATTACAGAAGGTAATGCTTAATTACAGAACATGCAGGAGCCTCATTACAGAACCTTCCTTTGCTTGTCCCTCTGGAGGATTTTCCATCTCTGCTGACTCCTCTCTTCAAAGCAACTTGCTTAAACTGATTTTACTGTCCTTCAGGCATCCTCCTTATTATAGCATTAGCTGGCCAGGATAACACCGTTAAAGATGGTTTTATTTATTTTATAAAGTCTTCATGACAGATGGGTCCTGTTCATCAGATACCTATCAGCCTACGGGTGACTGACAGTGCTTTGGGACACTGTGATGTGCCATTTTTGTAAAAGTAGCCAGGTTGTCTGAGGTGGATGCATAGAAGGAGACTGTGAGAGCCCCAAACAGTGACAAGTTGGACTCAATAAAAGCCTCTGTATATTTAAGTAGTAAGAAATTATTTTGTCCCAGTTGTTAATGTAACTGCCCTTCGCAACTAATTACAGCTTAGAGAGTGCAAGCCAATCACATCAATCATTCTGTAGACAATCATATCTTAAATATTGACATGATTACCAAATACAACTGTATTTCATGATGTGGTAGATGCACTTCCTATAACAAGGTTCTTTCTGAAATGAATATCCTCATGTAATTGGCAATGTGATATAGTTTTAAAATTATGTATATGATAAAGGTATCATAAAGTGTTTGCTGTTTATTCTCTCTAGCAGCATGTCTTTTCTAAGATTTTTGCAGTTTAAGTTGATCATAAAATGTCCTTCTAGACTGAATCCTGGCACACAGAATGTCAGCTTGAAACTGCAATGTACATTGATACTTGGGAAGATGAAGAGTATGGCAGCTATAAAATGAGCCGGGAATTTTTCCATTAGTAATAAGATGCTCCTTACTCCAACTTAATTAGACTGGGTTTTTTTCAAAGAACAAACGTAACAAATTTAGGTTAGAAGTTGAAAAAGAAATAAACCAATGATGATGGCAGTATGTTGGTCTAAAAAGTTTTATTGTCACAAAACCTATGGTGAGAAAAGCTCCAATAAGGTTCTCCTTAGCAGTCCTTTCCCATTCTGCAAAATATTTCAGTAAATGCTGGAAAATATTGCACATGCTGAACTGTTTGGTTACATAATGAAAGGCTGCATTTGGAGGATTTTTTTGCTTTGTAGCTGTAGTTCTGTAAATTTGGGTTCTGCAGTCAGTAGAGCAGTGTCCAGGCCCAGGCTGAGCCTCACTGCTGCTGTGTTTTAAATTAGATGGAGAGGAACATGCTTTTCTGCATCCTAGTCCATGTATCCGGTGGCCCTTTTATACAAGCAATGTCTTTTCCCAAGCCCATCAAATTTAATACTTCAATTCACAGTTCGTGTCATATTTAGAGCATTCTCACGGTAGCACTGCGTTAAAACAATATTAAAAATACAGAGTCAAACTCTTAGAAGTTGGGTAATAAAAAAAAGGACGTTACCCTGAACTGAGTCTGTCTCATATGTACAAAGTAAGACTGTCCTTGATCTTATTTTTTTTTCATATCTGACCATTTAATACTCACTGCTCTGAGGGCGTTTGGGTGGAAGGTCTGTGGGAGTTTGGCCGAGTCTATTCCCCCTTTAAGCTCTGGGGAGTTCTGTGAATAGGTTAATGGAAAGGACGACTCTGAGAGAAGTTGTGCTTTTGACTTCTATTTTCTCAGGTCTAGAAAAGAAAAATTATAGGGATTTTTGCTTTCCAGGTGCCTGACAGAATACTTAAAAAGTGTTATGTTTCTACATGAACAGAGAGTATCTTAGATAGCCTAGATAGCCCTGTGCATAGACTATTTATTCTAATCACATTCATTTTGGAGTTTCTTGAGGTACGGGCTAAATATTTTAGATCAATTATAGAGGTTGATTATGCAGTTAAACATGTGCCATAGCTCTGTTATGCAAAGTTGAGATATGAAAAACATATGATGCCAATGATTGCTTATTGTTGCTGTTTTCACCCAGTCATAACAGTGATGTACTCCCGTTGCCATGGAGGAGGGATAGTTTTCCTTGGGGTTGGGTTTTTGTTTTGTTTTTTTGTTTGTTTTTTAATAGTGTTTATGTGCATACTTTAATTAATACAGAGTGACTTATAGTTTGTCTTTGGGGGATAGGGTGTAGAATAACGTTTGGGTTTTATTTCCTTTATTTTAATTTACTAAAATCATGACTCTGACAATTGTTTATTCTTACAGGGAGATGTGAATGTGGCCAATGCACTTGTTTCCCTCCAGGAGACAGCAGAGTTTATGGCAAAAACTGTGAATGTGATGACCGACAATGTGAAAATATGGATGGCGATGTCTGCAGGGGTATGCATTCACATAGCATAACATAACATAACATAACATAACATAACATAACATAACTCTTGACAGTTTATAACTTTCCGTTCCCCCCCCCTACCCCCGGTTTTATAATATAATGTCACTAGAGATTATTGACATTATTGATTCATTATAACAGATTATAGATTTTTGTAAGAAATAAGCTATATAAATATTTAGTCAATATTTATTTTAAAACTTCAGAAACACTAAAAAGGAAGTAGATTAGATACAATTAATAGCATAAATGTAAATGCTGTAGTGTATCCCAAATTCCAGAATTGTCCATTAAAGAGGAATACAGACACTTAAAGGAAAACCTGAAAAATTAGGTGATTTTACACTGTGTTTAGTACAGTTGATGTTTTACTGAGAATGCTGTATTTTACCTAAGGTTAATAATGACCAGCAATACTTTTGAGTATTTCATATTCACTGACAAGTATATATCTGTTTTCTAAAAAAGTAGTAAAAATATAGATGAAAGAGTCTAGAATGCTTGAGATAAATTGTCGTAGTAATTGTACATGTAGACAGTTTATTTTAATTTTGACAGTGAAAACCTCTCTTGTTGATTTTTCAGTAAAGTATGTTGGTGTTAAGCAATATTTCAAATTAGTTTTAGATGTGCTAATGCATACATACCGTATGGTATTTTAAAAACAGGTGAGTAGTATTTGTCCTAAATGCTCTCTTTCTAGATTTTATTTGCTTTATTTTTAAAATTAGTCTTTGATTCTTAATATTAACAAAGTAGTTTTTGTGAACAATGACACACTTTATATTCCTTTTTTCTTTGTGAGAAGAAAATGTATTGCTTCATAATCTTCGTATCCATAAAAAATTCTGACTACAGGAAATATTCTTCAAGGTCTCTGCCATGTAGAAGGTAGGCATATATGGAAAATTCGAGTTCAAATGTCTGACCAGCCATAATAACATTTTAAAACATTCAGTGTAATTCAATAATATGAATGTGTAGATAAAGAATAATTTAAAATTTAATTTTGTTTAAAGGACTTGAAAGGAGATATAAACACAAAAAATCTGGGTGATATTTATTATAAATTAAGAGGTTGGGAACCAAAACTCATTGTCTTTCATGGTTGAAAAGATCTCTTCCATTTCTGTTATTCATATTTTGTATTATTTGATGACACTGCTTTAATGTTAATACTGCTAATTATATTGCACCTTTTGGAAATTAGAGACAAAAAATACATTCTTCCTTATTAGGAAAGATACAGGGATAATTTTAATTTTTTTTGCTAGCTAGAGCACCTCACAATTAAATGAATAATCACATCCATGCTTGAGCCAGCGTCCAATTTTTTACTGTGCAGGAGACACTCTAGGTCACACTATTACATGAATAAACTCTCGCCTTTAGTCTAAAAAGCTTTGTCCAAAGAGAATGGCAGAAAGTATTTAATTAATTTTAAAACCAGCTTATTTTCCAAATTTGGAAACAACAAATAGAAAGGAAAGCCAGCTCATGGATTTACCAATCTGTTGTAGTCGTAAGCAAGTTTGACTTCTCCACCTTCAGTCAAGCCAACAGTTTAGTTACTAATGATTCTATGCAGGTGAAAGGAATTATATGGGAAAATGCAATTCAAGTGAATTTGAAATTACAATGCACAGCACCTGTTGACAGGACTTCAGAAGGCCCAATCTGTGATTTTTGCTTTTCCAAGGAGCTGAGCTTATTCCTAATTCTTCACCCCAAACAGTAGAATAAGCACTAAATCACAAATCCTGTTGTCCTGGGTTTTCTTCTTGAGTAAAGAGAGAGGAGGGAACATAGCATAAGGTGATGATTAAATCCACCCAGATCTGAGCTGACCTCTGAAGTGCCTCAAGGGAGACTAGAGAATCTTTGCTCACTCACAGCTGTGTGAACTTGGTGAAGTGAAGCTGGTCTCTTGAGTTTTAGTCTTCTCAACTAGAAGTCATCCAACTACTAATACCGTCTTCTAAAAATTAATGGATTTCTCTAGTAAATCTATTGGGATTCCAGTAGTAAGTAATTTGCAGTTTATTTTCTCATATTCTTGATATTTTGTTTCTTGTTCTATTATATTTCAAAATATAATTTGAGATATTTTTAGATTATTCTAGGTTTGGTTGTAATTTACTCCTATGTATGTTCCTATATTATTATTTCCTGATTCAATCCACTTTCGTTCTTTTACAGCCATGAACTGTTTTTCCCTTCCTCTCTTTCTGTTCTTATGCCACTCAAGTACTTTTTGCTTGCACATGTCTGGTTCTTCCATGTGATGTGTGCTGAGATTCAAATTAGCACACATGCATGTGTGCTTGCACATGTCTGGTTCTTCCATGTGAGGTGCGCTGAGATTCAAATTAGCACACATGCATGCCTTACTAATCATTCATTTCTCTTCCATACACCACTTCTCCTTTTCTTGGCTGCTGGAGCTCTGGAGTGGCTCCTTCCCTCATTTCCCCTCTCTCTCCCTCTCTTTGCTCTCTTTTTTTTCTTTCTTTCTTTTTTTTTTTTTTTTTCTTCTGTTTTTACTGCTGGCAGATCCTGAAACCTTATTTTCTTTGACCGTCCAGTGTCCATCTGTGCTTTTGATCCACCTGCCTCAAGAGGTCACGCCCCCACCCCAATAACTTAAGGCGGCACCTATTTAGGTGTAAGTACTAAGTACAGGAATGTTTATCTTCCAAGAGTCGCTACCGATTGCAGCTTTCTGTTCACTCACCATTTAGCAAGTGAATTCCGCTCACCATCTCTCACCTTCTAACTCAGGATATGAGCCATTTACCCCTTATTTATTTTCTGTGACTTCAGCTTTCACTGTGGCTTCCACCATTTTCATTGAAATGTCTCTTCCCACCGTTTCACACCAAATGTAGGAATTTCTGTTACTGTTATCCTTTTCAGATCCTCAATAGCCTCTGACTTTACTGATAGCTTCAGACCTGGTAATTGTCAGATGTTTTGCTTGGCTATCACTTTTTACCCTGATTACAATTTGAATGATTCCTTTGATATACAGTGTTTCTCATTCCTCCCTTTTCAAGAGATCCTACCAATTTTAACCTTATTTTCTTTCCCCTTTTGCAACCTATCCACAGAACTTCTCTCATTAATTTTGTGCCAGTCACATACACATCTCTCTTCCTTTTGGGTTTGCCCATGCTTCCATCTCAGCCTGAACCTCTTGACACCTCTGGCCAAACTGCTTATTCCTTCCTCTTTCCTTCTCCTCTTTTCATTACTATTTTTCTACCACTGTTGCTACCTAGGCAATCGCTGTCAGAGCATAAGCCCTTGCTAGTAATTCTGGCATCAGAGAATTGTAAGCTGGGCTCTGTGAATGTGCAGGGTCTGACAGTGAGCACTGAGTGCCTGTAAAGCACAAGGAAGGAATACCAGTGTTTTCAAATTAAATGCATGCTGAAATAAGAACTGTGAATGACAACCTAAATGATTTGAATAAGAATTGTTACTGGCCTCCTCTGACCAGCAGAGATTGATTAATAGCTTGCTTTCCAGCCCAGCTGTCCATGCGATGGTAGAAAGACATGAGGCGAAAGATATGATAAATTAGGGTACAACTGAACGAGACCCTATTACCGTGTTTCTGCATGATTGTAGTGAGTCATTCACTTAAAAATTCAGCTGTCCATCATCCCAGTACCAGGAATAGAGACATTACGTCTCCACAAAGACAAAGGTTGCAGGAGGACTCAGCATAGATTCCACAGCACTCTACTATTAGAAATGGATTCATAGAATCATAGAATGGTTTGGGTTGGAAGGGACCTTTAAAGATCATCTAGTTCCAACCCCTCTGCCATGGGCAGGGACATCTTTCAATAGTTCATGTTGCTCAAAGCCCCATACAACTGGACCTTGAACACTTCCAATGATGGGGCCTCCACAGCGTCTCTTGGCAACCTGTTACAGTGTCTCAACACCCTCATAGTGAACAATTTTTCCCTAATGTCCAATGTAAACCTATACTCTTTCAGTTTAAAACCATTTACTTATATGCCCCCTTTAAATATTGAAAGGCTGCAATAATGCATCCCTTCTCTTCTCCAGGCTGAAAAACCTCAACTCCCTCAGCCTTTCTTCACAGGACAGGTGTTCCAGCCCTCTGAACATTTTTGTGGCCCTTCTCTGGACCTGCTCTAATAGGTCTATGTCTTTCTTATACTGGAGACCCCAGTACTCTAGGTTGGTTCTCAGCAGAGTGGAGTAGAGGGGCAGAATCACCTCCCTCGGCCTGCTGGCCTGCTCTTTCCTTTGTCTTCACTTGTCTGTGCCTCTGCACAAAAGCTTAATATGCGATAGCTGGAGGAGGTTTCTCATGCAGACTTTTCGAGATTGGTATGTTGTACCTAAAGGCCCGTTCCCTACAGTTCATCTTTTTTCCCAATGATGTAAGGTTTGCCCAGGTGTATTGCAGCATTGATTGCAATATTTAACGTAATGGTTTTTTATGTTTTTACTTGGTTCTTTGAGTCTTTCATGTGCAAGTTAAGTTATTTTGGTGCACACACATGACCAGAGAATCACAGGTTTGCTAGTCCAAGTTTGTTCTTTGGACGGCTACGTCACTGATGTACACAAGGCTTGATATTTACTTATCTTGTATCGTACTTCTCTCTCTCCTTTGAGTTTATGGCTGTGCTGCTAGCTGCAGATGTGTCCTGAGCTTTCAAGTGTTGTTTGTTCCCCTACTGTGTCCAGTCATGTTTTTTAGTTGATGTCATTGGTGGCTGCTCCACCTCAGTGGGTTGACTGTTGTCCATTATGTTCTGTTCCCTTTCTGAATTGAGGGCAGGCTGGCAATGAGAATTCAGGACAACAGTAAAGATCAATTTGAAATTGATTCAATAATGCTCTTAACTCCATTAATTTTGATTTGTTCTCTGGACCATTATTGGTCTAGCTGTGAGTTCTTGTGACAGAAAAGCAGCAACCACTGAAGAAATAAAACAGA